ATCATTTTCGATTAAGCCCAGGAGTTAGAATCGGTTTTGGGCTTTAAATGGGCTTGAAGCTCAATAGTCCTTTAGTTTATGGGCCGAGCTTATTCATTTATTAATTCTACGCACTTATTAGTTGGTTTATGGGCCATGTCCTTCCCAAATAGGCCCACGTCAAAATTAGAGCTTAAGCTAACGTAGCCCGGTCTAACCAAACCGCTCCAAAAGTTTATTGGACTAAATTAAATTGTGGCCGAGTAAAATGAAACGAAATTAGACTGAAATATATTAGAAAATTTTCTAATATTTTTATGTTTTTTTAATAATGTTTTCAAAATTTATGATTCAAATTCAATATTTTTTTTAATGTTTTTTTGTGTATTTAGGTTTTTAATTGAAATTATAAAAGGTAAAAATAGATTAAAAAAGATGAAAAAATAATACAATATTACAAATATAATTTTTGGAAAAAAGGAGAGGGAGAGAGAAATCGGCCGACCTAAAGCAATACGCCGCTTTCTTTATTTATATTATTTGATTAATTTGAATGGAGAAGGACAGGAGCGTAATTTCATAAAAAACACGAGGGTATTAACGTAAATAAGGTAATATTCACGAACCAAATTGCGTGCTCAAGAAATAAGAGGCTCAAACGGAATAAATAAATAAAACAAACAAACGAAAAACGGGAGAGTTTTGGGTTTCCCATTTTGCTTCGTTTCTTTCAAATATTCAAAAAAGGAAGAAAAAAACACAATTAATTTAATTATTTGTAAAGGAGTTTCGGTTTTTTTTTTTTTTTTTTTTAAATTTAATTTTTAATTTTTTTTGGTTCCCTTTTGTTCCTTTCACGCCGCAGAGGAAGAAAGATACAACGCAGAAACCCTAATAACAAACTTTGTGTAACGGAGGAATTTTCGATTTTTGTTTCTCTTTCTCTGAGATTTTTCAAAAAAAATAAAAAGAGGGAAAAGAGAATTTGAGATATGAGAAAGACGAACATATAATCCGGAATCTGTATTCTGTTATTCATCTTGTTCTTGTAAATCTAATGGCGGAAGATAAAGAGCGGGAGAGTGGACAGAGCATCGCCACATGGGGGACATGGGAGGAGCTTTTACTGGCCTCTGCCGTCATGCGCCATGGATTTAAGGACTGGAATTCTGTCGCCATGGAAGTTCAGGCTCGTTCTTCTCTCCCTCATCCCCTAACCACCGCCTCTAACTGCGAACTCAAATTTCTTGACCTTAAACGACGGTTTACTTCTTTTCAAAACGATGCCGTTTTGAGCGAGAACGGCGCTGGAATTACCGATAACGTCGATAGCGCCGTACCTTGGGTTGATGAGTTGAGGAAACTCCGCGTTGCCGAACTCCGACGAGAGGTCCAGAACTATGACGTTTCAATCAAGTAAATCTATATAGGTTTTTTTTTTTCGGTTTTTTCTCTTTTGTTTTGTTTTTTTTTATTTGAAACGTTATTTTTATCTTATTATTTTCAGATCTGAGTTCATCGTATTGAGATTTTCGTTAGCTCGTTGCAGTTGAAGGTCAAGAGATTGGAGGAGGAGCGTGACCAAGGCTTGAACGACAGCGAGGCCGGCACTGGAAAACCAGATCTAAAGACGGAGGCTAGAGAACGACGATCAGAAAACGACAAAAAGCTCTTCGGAGAACCAGACCACCGGTCCGGATCGAAGGGAACAGTCGTGAAGCCAGCGGCGGTTCCTGGAGAAGATTCCGACCGGGAGGATTTCTCCGTCAACCAATCCAATTCCACCGGTTCCAAAAGCGGTAACCGAAAAAGCACAGCCGAAAACACGAAATCCGAAACCAAACCGGAGTTTACCGGTTCATGCAGACCAGAACCGAACCGGAGAGCCGCTGAACTAGCCGGACCGCAGTCGGACGACGGCAGTACGGACACTGTGGTTAAGAACCCAACGTGCGACACATCTGGCACGACGAAGAAGAAAAAGGAGACGAAGCGAGTTGACGACTCGTCCGAGTTAGCTGACTCGGAGGCTGAGTCAAACGGCGGAGAAACCGCAACGAGGGAGAGCAGCGAAGTACAAAGCTCGGCGAGTTTGACGGGAAGGATGAAGAGGAGGAGATTCCTTAGAAAGGAGATCTCCGGCGGTAGCAGCGGGAACGAACCTCGCCGCACTGTCGCCGTCAAGTCACGGCGGTTCGATGAGGTTTTGCAGATGATTCGATCGCATAAACATGGCTCCTTGTTCGAATCCCGTCTTCAAAGTCAGGTACCATTTTTTCCATTTCCAATTTTTTCTTTTCATAAAATAATTAGGTTTAAATTCATTTTTTTATTTTAAAAATAATATTCGGTAGAAAAAAATATAATCACAACAATTTGATGCCATGAACTTCCCATTTTCGGTTTAGCTTTAATTGGATAATTACTGCTAAATTCAATAATTACTAATTAAGATACCATTTTTGTCATTAAACTTTAAAATATTATATTAACCTTGCAAAAATAACATAAGCAAATTAACCTCTTGAACATTTAAATGAATTAAAATAAAATAATAATAATTTAAAGAAGTGAATATTAAGGATATAATTATTTTGGGTAATTAATTTGATGTTTGAGGTCCAAAGCTATTAAAAGCTTTTTCGACCAATAAATTTGGACCATTTCCAATGGGAACCAAAATGGAAGAAAGAGGAAAACGAGGGACCCATTCGGTTAAAGCTTCTTCTATCCGCGTTGCTACTTTTCTTTTTGACCTTTTTTTAAATATTTTTTTTAATAATTAAAATACAGTTGCAGATGAAAACTGTTCTGTTTTTCTTCTTTACTAAGAAATATTTGGATCAAGCAACTTCTATATATATATAAAAAAAAAAATACCCACAAGATTTTATTTGAGACCCTTATATTATTTTCATTCCTAAAATAAATAAATGAAATTAGTATTGATGATTTCATTCTTTAGTTCGGTTGAAATCTAAGTCAAGAGCTGAATTTGGACCTTATTTTATATTTTATATTTTTAATATGTAGTATATGTAAAATGGTTCTTGTTTTTTTTGTTTTTTTTTTTAAAGAATCTTCTCATCAATATTTCGGAAATTTACTTGTGCTTTGTTTTTATTTATTTATTTTTTAAATAATTCCAAATTGGAAGGGTTCTAAAGAGAGTATTTTGTCCTGGCATATTGGATGTGCTTTTCGGCTGTTTGTATAGAAATCACTTGGGCCATGCCCATGGTCGTTCCATGGACCCCCTTGCCCCACCGGACTCCCTCCCGTTTGGCCCTTCCTGAACCTTGGCTCATCAACCATTTCTGTAGGCTAATCCTTTTAGGGATGCGAGAGCCTTTGATATGTTGATATTATCCTTTTGCATATAATTAAAATTAGTAGATATCTAATGAATTAACTGAGTTTGGCCCTTTCATTGAGATCTTCTGTGCTGTTTTTTGTGGTTTAAACGACTTGTGTAAGTAAACCCATCGTGTTTTTTTTTTTCTTTTCAGGAGACGGAAGAGTACAAGGTCATGATTCGGCAGCATCTTGACCTGGAAACAGTTCAGGCCAAGCTCAATTCGGGCTCTTATCCATTGTCTAGCCTCGCATTTTACCGAGATCTCTTGCTTCTTTGCAACAACGCAGTCACCTTCTTCCCCAATTCGTCTAAGGAGTCTGTAGCTGCTCGTGAACTTCGTCTTCTCGTCTCATACGAAATGAAGAAGAGTATGCCTGTTGCAAGGGCTGACCCTTCACCAGGGTGTTCGTCCCCACCAAATCCTTCTTCCCAATCCAAGGGTCCTCCCGATCTTGAAGGATCTCAGTCCCTGCCTGCCAAGCGGAAATCCCATGTTCCTATAGTAGTTTGTCGGAAACGGAGCAAGATTTCATCTAAGCTTTCATCAAGTGGTCTTGGTGAAAAGAGTGATCGAACCAATGATGATGAGAAGTTAGCCCTTGATCTTAAATCAAGTGTTAAAATGGCTTCAACCGTGGTTGAAGACCATGGTACTACGAAAGATAGCAGCAGCAAGATTAAAGAGAGATCTATAACTGGAGCCAGAAGCATGCGAAGGAGCAATGATAGCGCCACAAACTCAAGTGGCCCCAGCATCAAGAAACAGACTACGAATTCTGGATGGAAACCCAATTCAGCCAACGAAACAGAGACACCAACTCCAGATAAGAAGAAATCCGAGACAGTTGCCCTAGAGAAGAAGCGAAGTGCAGCAGATTTCTTGAAGAGGATCAAGCAGAACTCACCTGCAGAGACTACGAAGAGAAATGGCAGAGGTGGAAGTAGTAACAAAAGTAATGCTGCTGCAGCAGCAGCAGCTGGAGAACAAAAGAAGGGCAGTGGCAAAAATGGAGGAAAGGAGAAAGCGTCATCCATAAGGCAAAGCAACGAAAAGAAGCGCCTAAAGGAGGATCCTAGCCCTTCCAAGCGCAGTGTTGGGCGACCGCCCAAGAAGGCAGTGGAAGCCAATCCCGATCCCAATCCCGCTCCAACAAAAAGAGCCAGGGAAGGTGGTGGAAAAGAACCGCTGAAGCGGGCAAGAAAAAGGGCTAGAAGGTGACCATATTAAGTCTTCTGCTGCTGATTGTTTGTATAGTAATAGACTTAGTCTGCAGTGAATCAATATGTATTGCATTTAATTATTTTTAACTTCTAATTTGTTACACGGAAAAGTTGGGCACTATTTTCCTTAGTTTCCTGCTAAAGCTGGTTAACCAAATAGTTAAACTTCAAGTAGCACCTATATTCAACCTCGTTTCACTCTAATGATTTGGGAAGATCTGGACCGTAGGATCAAGAGAACCAGTTTGTTCCAAGTACAAGAGGCCATGTGTGGTGGATATTGGAGATGGGGCAAAAGGCTCTAAGTATTTTGAATGTCTAAAGAGAGTTCCCACCACCACACATTAAATGATAAAATCTGAATGAATTTCATATAATATATTCCACCTTTTTGATCTTAGGGTTTAGTAGTTAGTAGGGTATATTTGGGTTTTCTAAATCAGGCAACTTAGAAGAAGTTTATACATGGGTCACATCTTAAAATCACTAGACAAATAATGTTACACAAGTATTCATCAGCCTTCCTATGTTAACTCTTACCATTGCCAAAAAGAAAAAGGGGAAAATAAGAACAAAATGAAGAAAAAAAACAACCAACCCCACAGTTAAACCTATGCGAAGGGAACATTCAACTCAATCATCATATGGTATTTTACAGGAAAAGGGGCCCTTGAGAGTTTAGGTGTATCACTCCCTAATTAACTCAAAAGTAGCTTACCACATCTAGTCGTCTTTCGATCAAAACGATGCTTTTGCAGAGTGAACCACCTCTGTTTCAAAACGATTACTGTCATTCCCGGTCCATCGATTGTCCATGAGAGAATCTGTGGCCACCTTCGTCTGTTATAAACGCACAGGGTGTCAAGGGATGTACAGTATGAACTACTACGGAAGAATATAAATATCAAGAAAGCATGAACAAATTTGGTTGCGCAAGACTCAAAACTCCTAGGGTTCGTTTGCTGGTATTATGGATTGTTCTGAAGTGATCAATATGATACGACAGGGAATGAATATCAACAAAAAGCATAGTCACAGTTGAAAGAAAAGTTACCGCTTCCAGCATCAGACATATCCCCAAGCCTATTAATAGCATCGATAAGTGATTGTTCGTGGTCCTGGATGGAGTAAGTTAGCATATTAGGGAACAGAATAGAATGGAATACTAGTTGTATGTATCAAATGCTTCTTACATTGAGAACTTTCTTTGCCCTTTCAACTTCAACAGGATCTGGATGATTTGAACCGAAGACTCTCTCCACCTAACCAAATAAACAAGAAATTATGGAGATGCTAGAAAGCTAACTAGTTTGTAAAGGTCAAAAGAATGCAACACTAGTGCTTGCACCTCTCTAATTAGAGTTTCCGTGTGGAGTATCCGTATATCATCAGATGGCTTCTTCCCAATGCCATTTTGGGATGGCAAAAAATCTTTTCTGGACTGAGACTTGGCGACTCCTCTACCTCTGCCTGCACCAGATACACCATCACGGCCGACTGAACGATTCATTCCATGACCTGATCCACCATAACCACCTCTATGTGGGATTCCAGGATCCTCATCAACCCATTGGATGTCCTCGGGAGATATCTGCATTGCCAATTCAATGTAAGCACAAGCAAGAAAATTGTACATTTCTCAAAATTCAGATCTTTGAATTTGGGTATAGTAAGATTTTAAGCAGATATGGAATTTCATTATATAACTTGAATAACGGAATATCTCATATTTATCAGCCACCATTGACATAACATCAACAGCCAAAAAAAGCAAGCAGATGAAGAATTCTTCCGCATTTTAAAGCATTTATCCAACAGATCACAGTAAATACATAATGCATGTCACCGTACAATCTCAAATTTGGATCTTCCCATAAAAACTGTCGTGTGTGTGTGTGTGTGTGTGTATAAGACAGAAAGAAAAGACCCAAATGACGCAACTCTAAATTCTGATGCCTACTACAAACTCAATGAATTTTATACTTCACCAATTCAATAATGTTTACTATTTCATCTCCAGTCCTCAGAAATTTGGAAGTTAGGAACTACCTAAATATTTGGCTCTAACGTATATAGTTTTAGTTCAAATGGAACTTCGGCCTAACTTAATCCTATAAGATGTAAGCGATCTTTAATCTTCTAAGGTAACTTTAACCTATCAGTTATCACTTGATTCAATCCAAATTGTTTGTAAACCCCATGCATACTGGCTTAGCCATAATTATGGAATTTAACCGTAAAGTTAAAGAAATCAACTTTATAATATAGGCAATGATAATCATAGTCATCCTGTAAAGTTATCCACAAAGCGAAGGCTTTAAAATACAGCTAGAGCATATGAACTACCAAGTATCAACAGCTTTGAAGAGATGATCAAACAAAATATACACTAAATATTAGCAAGGAACATCGTATGCCCCAAAATGTTCTCAGAACAAAAGTGGGTGAAGCACCTCTTATCCACCATATATCCCAACAATTAATTCTGTCAAGATCCAAACTAACCACGAAGACCTCAAGAAATCTACCCCCAACTCACCAAGCAAATTGAGGTTTACCTAGAACATGAACTAGATTTTCCAACACCCATCTACAAAAAACAAGCCACTAACGACCAGCTAAGGGAAATAATCACATCTTTGAATGGAACCTTCTTGAGTTTTTTAAAGAGCGGGGAAGAGGAGGAAAAGGAGGGTTGAGCAAGCAGGGAACTAAAGAAGGATATTCAAGAGAAGGTCCGTGAAGAATTTTGGGTCCAAATATAAAAGTCACCAAAGTTTGGACAAAGGAAGATACCATGCAACAACAGAAGTGAAGTTAGTCCCAAAACTCAAAGATAAAAAAGAGACCACCTAAAATGGAAGTTATGAAAAAGAGAGGGAGGATCACCATTCCACAACAAGACAAAATTAACAAAAGCATCTTTCCATACACAAATCGTACCGAGAGAGAGTATGGAAGGTGTCATTGTCAATTTTTTTAAAAGGAAACAGAACTTTTCATTTAAATAATAAAAAGAGACTAATGCTGAAACCTAAAAGAAACCAAAAGGAAATTAACAAAATAGAAAAAATACATTAAAAAACCAGATTAAAAAGGAAAGATGAACGCAATTCAATAATTCTCGCACAATACCAAATATGGAAAATAAATAGCAAAAACAAATAAATACTTTTCATTGGAAGGTGTCATTGCCAATCCAGTGATCCTCTTAAAAAGGAATACGAGCCCATCCCCAACAAAGTACTTAACAAACTTTTTAAAAACAGGAAGTCGGTGTATGACTTCAGTGAAAAATGTCTTCGGCAATTGATTCTTCTCATAGGTTCTGTTCTATACATGGGACGGTAAAAAAAAGAGATGTAAAAGCTTTATTGTTATTGACCAAGCATTTTAAGGGGAACGAGTAGAATCAATTCTAGAGACGTGAATTTAATTGCCAATACTAAAAAGAAAAAACTGATTGTACTTCCATTTTCTGTTTCTTCTAACTTCATGATTTTAAAATGAAGCTTCAAACTATTTTGAAACCAGATCAATACAACAGTAACAAATTTCATAAATCAAGGACTAGGATGCTTTTATAAATATCAAAAGAAGAACAATATGAGGTATAGTTGTTTGGGCAGTAAAAGTGATCACGGAGACTGACAAAGAAAAATACAGTAACCTCCCAATTCCTATATTAGTAAACTTTTGTGTTCATATTGAAGGTCCTAGCAATAATTCTTACACAACTCCAAATATGGAGAATAAAGGAAATGGCTATACAACTCCAGGTGAAGGTGAAACCATAGAAGTTAGGATGCAAGTATCTAAAGAAATTGTAGTAAAACCAAAGAAATAGTAGTGAATAGATATACCTCTGAAAGATTAACCCACTCCCAGGTCTCATTGGCAGAACCGATATCATACACCAAGGCATGTCGTCCCTGAGTATACACAGATGTACTTCAGCAACTTTCCGTAATGAAACATGAATTAGTATACGAGTAGAAGATAGTTTACCTCCGCAGCATTGAAATCAGTTATAACAGCTTCATAAAAATTATTATCATCCGGCCATCTAGTTCTCACTTTCCTCCCAATTAGTGGATTCAATGTTGCTCCTTCAACTGGCTCAATAGCTCCGGAAGAAACCCTATTAGCAACTTGACTCCTACCACTAGGAACTGAAGTTTGGTACTGTTTGGCTGAAGATGCCCCAGGTAACATCTGGGGAAGGAAAATAAAATGAAGGAATAAATAAACAAAAGAAAATTAAGAATAAATAGAGCCACAAAATTCATGAATCTGAAACTTACAGATTTTTGTTTTTTGCCCTTGGGTGTGGGGATAGCTCCTCTTTTTGCAACAGATGAGGATGGCTGATGAGAAGGAGCAACAGTTTGTTGGTGAAAGGATTGAGACGGCCCAGTAAAGGACTGTGGAGGTACCAAATGGGTTAGTTTCTGTTTCTTGCGAGATGCAGAAACAGTAGGGCTGGGTATTGGATCATGAATGGCTTGACTGGTACTGAGCTTGCCAGGCTGATGCCCACCGGCCTGTCTCCACTCCCTACGACATGACCCAAAAGTATCCATCGATATTTAAAAGAGCCTTCAAAACCACAAACCTAAAATATAGGGTTTTTTTTTTTTCCGTTTTTGTTCATGTTATCAAACCTTATACTTCTAATCACGTCATCTGCATTAACCCGTCCAAGAAGCTCTCTGTGCTCCTCATTTGACAATCTTAACTCTTTTCTGAGTTCTGTGATCAAACTTTCTTTCTCCTGAAGAAAATACATTTCATGTAGCAATCATTTAAACCTGATCAAACAAATACCAATATTAGATACTTGAAATAGAAACAAAAAGTACCCAAGTAATGGCATCAGCTTGAGCTTTAAAGGCTCTAAGAACAGAACTGTAAGCTTCCTTCTCAAGTTGATGAATTTGGGCTTCCATGTCAGTTTCACCGTACATCCTGGGATATGGAACAGAACCCATGACTGATCTTCCATTCCCTGAAACACGACCCCCTCCTCCTCTTGCAATTCTATTCTGGTGAGATGGAGGGAGATCGTCATCAGTTCCTGAAATCAATGGTGCAATAAAAATATTAGACCATGTAGCTGGATCCAAATTATAGATGCCAGGGACAAATGTAGTCACTGTCTTCCTGAAACAAAATAGTTAAGAGACCAAACCATAGATGAAGAATTCTAAAAAAAATAATGCTAGTTCCTAACGTAAATAGGTTAAGAAAGATTTTCCCATGATGCTAAGGAAGTAGTGGATAGCTTCAAAAGGGAAGAAGGTCAGTAGTCTAAGTCTAGCGGTCAAAGGAGATCATCAACATGTGATGCGAACTGTGTATATGGGTTAATAACTGATAAACTAGTTCCTTCACAAATAATTTTAAATGCTAAAAACCCAACAGCCACTTAGCTAAACAACTACCAACAATTTTATGCTTGGTCTTCCGTCAACCTGCTCGTCGTGATTCATTCTTGAAAAGTAACAGTTATTGAGAAAATGAAGAGTCACGAGCTGAAAGCTGATGTAATGTCCTAGTATCTTTCCTAATTATTTCCTTGAGAACATATTTAAACTGATAAAACGAGTATAACCTTGAAGAAGAAAGAGAAAAAAAAAAAAAAAAAAAAAAAA